TTTCTTTTGCTGAAAAACTTGTACTTGCATGTATCTAATCCCCTATTTGTTATCCAATCTTAAGGCCACTTTTAATTTCAGTATTAAAAAGTAATAGTACATTAGAATGCCGATAACTCGAACTCGAATAACGCAAACTCCCCGATAACTCGAACTCGGATAACGCGAACTCCCCGCTAACTCGAAATATAAGTCCGACTGACCCATTTCCCTTGGATTTCACACCACTTTTAAGTCATTTTTACTCGGCTTGCTCGAGCTCGGATAACTCGAATTTACCACTACCTCGAACTAAATTCCCTTTCCCTTAATAAAAAATTCACTGATATTTACCTCGATAACTCGAATTCTGGCTCTTCTTACACCACTCGGATGCCATCCCATTAGCTCTTCTTCTCGTATAACGGTAAAGACACTAAAACTAACAATCGTCAGCACTACAGCAAACTGATTGTAATTGGTGCAACGAACGGATCACGTTTTTTCATAAAAATTCCTAATCGGTGTTACCGTTTCTTATGAAATATTAAGTTAAATTTTCACTGCACTATACTGTCTATTCACTGAAATGCTGAAAAATCAGTAACTTTCAACTTTTAATGGCAAGTTGAATTTTTCAATCGCCCCCGATAACTCGAACCCTCGCTAACTCGAACTGTTTTTCGCTTCCCTTCACAGTTCGAGTTACCGGGGTTCTACTGCACTTGAAGTGTGTGCATGTCTTCATTATCGTTAATTTTCTCTATGGTCTCTGTGTTTGTTTCATATTGTAGGCACAGCATACGGTAAGACACTACGCAGATATCATGGTTGGGTAGTACGAGGTGTTTTTGCGGTAAGTGTGTCGACAAATATCTAAGCTCACATCGACCTTGTTAACTTAAGTAAAAACCGTTGTTGGGTAAGAATTATGTTTAGAAGATGTTAAGACACATATGTTGTTGGGTAAGAATTATGTTTACAGTTTGTCACCTCTAGTTTTATGTACTGGCCTTTCGTGGCGTTCTATTGACTTTTACGTGCCTGGTAGGTGGCAACAATGCTCGTGGAAAGTCAATCAATCAATCAATGTGTATCTTAGACACAATATACACTGTAGCATCTCTTTCCCTGGCTGTTTGTGATGTTTAGATGTGTGTAGCGTTCCAGGGGCACCCAAAATCCTGAAGAGTGGGGAATCGATTTGATAAATTTAATGACCAAGTTTTACTTGTTTTTCATGGTTTGTTTTAGCTGGCAGTTAAGGCAGTGCCATACCGATCAGATTTCCTTACCTCGCTTGGGAGCACTGAAAAGAGCATAGCTCCTCATAAGGACGTCATACGGGATATGAAGCTTTGTGTGGAAGGACTCAGTCGAGTTACGAACATTTTAAACCAGTTTTACCGGAAACACAAACTCGATTCTGAGGATACCGTGTGACGATGTCAAGACGTAACGCTTGATTGGATTAGGTTTGCTGTTACAACGTCACGCTTTCCTTTGACCCTTGTCATGCGTACTGCTACAAACGTAGTGTCACGTTCATGTGTACATTAACTAAAAATGTGAATTTATATTTGAAAAAATATTTTTAATTTAATTTATGTTATAATGTGATAAATTATGTTTACGTTGCCAATCGATTGTAATTAGTTCTTGACTTTCATTTTTTTAACGTGTTGTCCCCTTCATCTAATAGGGAACTTAAGCATCTACGACGGCAACAAAAACGTTAGACAAAAAGTGAATTCGCGCTGCTTCAAACTTCTTCTCTTCTATTCCATTTCGTTCAATTTGTCAAATGTTGGCGAATTTTTCTGGAGTTGAATTCTAGAAGAATTCGTTCGTTCGCTCGTTCGTTCGCCCGTTTTCTCGTGTTCAGGTTCTTCGTAAACCGTGAAAGTAGAAATTTTCACGTCGCAGTCGTGCAACGGCTGCAAGGAAATGTTCAATAAAGCGTGATTGCACGTGCAGAATTGTTGTTTTGCCAATCTAAGGCCCTTTCCACACTTATGCGTTGTCATCGAAAACGCATCGATCGATTCGCGTCCACACGACCGTTTTGATGGGTTTTGGACTGTTCACACTCAAACGTTCGAAAACGATAGAACTGTACGTTTTGGCGTAAGTTGAACCCTATGTGCATGCTACAAACACACGCGCCTGCGATATTTCGGCCTTCGTTTTCATTTTGATGCGTTTTCGACTGCTTTCGCCGTCCACACTATGATACGATGTGTGTTGTCGTTTTGATCCACTTTCAAGAGCGGTTTCAAATCGATGCGTTTTCGATGAAAACACTCAGTGTATTAACGTGGACGGAAGGCCTACACGCATCGAAATGTATGCGTTTTCAAAGGAAAACGCATTAGTGTGGACAACAGGGGCGGATCCAGGATTTTTTTTAGGAGGGGGTGCACTCGTCTCTTGGTCTACTTCAACACCAATAAACCACATAGTTTTTTTTTTTTTGGGGGGGGGGGGGGAGGAAAACCGGTTTTGTTAAAAACCGCCAGGT